TTGGATAATTAAATACACCCCTTCAACTATGAATTTTCTTGCACTTCCACTCTTATAGTGTCAAATTCAACATAATCATCTAGATTCCGTGGAATGATATCTATTTTGTACTCGTTTTGTACAAAAATATATTTTCTAATGCACCACAATTCTGATATATACAAGTCAAAAAACACATATTGTGATCATCTTGCTTCAAATTTTGGAGCTCGATTGGAATAAAACGGGTACAAAATTGAAAATATTCCTATAATCTAGAAGATTCCACTAAATTTGAAACCGCAAGAGTGGACGTATGAGAAGATTTATAGTTGAGGAGGTAGTTGTAATTATCCAAACAAAAGGGTTTTTTTTGTAATTTAACCATACCTCATGGGGTTGGTAGTAATTTCCCCTAATTATTATAATAAATTCCTGCACAAGTTAATTAATAACCACCTTCTCCAATATCCTAATCCGTTGCAAAAATAATGTGTGCAAGAGAGAGAGAGAGAGAGAGAGAGAGAGAGAGAGAGAGAGAGAGAGAGAGAGAGATGCATATACACCAGCACCAAAGCTAAAGGCATTATTAATATTGGTTTTTGTTAAAGGACAAAATCAAGTATGTATCTCAAGAGCAGATAGAGGTAACAAGTACCAAATGAATAGCTAGCTACTGTCAATTTGGGCTTCTGCAATTATGAACACTAAAACCCATTAATATGTCCATAGAATGTACAACTCCAACCTGCTTTAAGAAAAAAAAAAAACAAGGCAAAGTAAGTTTCATTTGGAGTTACACACACAATCAAGATACTTGTAACAAACAGGATCGGATAAAGATCGATCGAGCGCATCTTGCTATCAATCAACAAATACGCAACGAACACTAAGATCAAAACCGAGGCAGAATACGAAGAAAAAAAAAACCAAGATTCGTAAATCAATTTGGTAGTAGCTAGCTTGTACTCAAGATTCTTGAGCAAAACAACAAGATTCATAAAGCAATTTAGTGCTAGTAGTCAAAATTATCAACCCAACAACAAAAAAAAAAAAAAAAAAAAAAAAACAAGATTTATAAAGAAATTTGGTTTGCTTGCTGCCAAAAATTATTTCCATGTTGTATGAACAATTTAAAACACAAAACACATTTAATACATACATACCAAACCTGCATACTCAAAGCTGAAATTTTAATAAAACAGAGAACACAACTAACTAAATTTTAGTTAGTTAATAAACATAAACCAACCATATATACAATAAAGAATATACACGTAAAACGTACGTACCCCGTTTGATTAAGGGAAATCGTCCCCATCGTCTCCAGCCCACTCGGGCGGCCCTCCTCGTGGCGCCTCGTCCGCTTCTTCAACGAGTCCATCCACACCATCAAAAATGTCTCTTATCATACCCCAAGAATCCCAATCCAAGATTGGAACTACGGGCTGGACATAGTCATCCGCATTAGGGTTTACCGGACGAACGGACCGAACAACATCGGCGGCAAGATAAGGCTCTCCACAGCTAGGGCATAGTTTCTGTTCAGCGTCGAGGAACTCCTCGTCGAGGCAGCCTTCGTGGAAATAGTCTCCACAATGGAGGATCATTCGAGTAGGCTCGTAGCTAAGGAAGTCCTCGTCGCAAACGGGGCACGGGACCCACCCCATCAGCTCCTCCTGCGGTGAAGGCGGTTGCACGAACTCGTCGTCGTCCGTGATCTCCGATTCGTACTCCAGAAGCGACGCGTTGTCGACATACTCGAACATGAATCGGAAGTGGAGGCCCACCCTGTGGGTGGGGCAGAGGTGGTTTTCGACCCTCGGAATCGAGCACACCTTGACGTAACACCGTAAGTGGATAATGTGCTTGCACAGCGGCAGGAAAACCACAACGTCGCCGATTTTGAAAGGTGACGTCGCACAACCCGCCAGGCATTTCGGATTCTCCACGCAAAGCTTCAGCTTCTCTTCCTCCGTTACACTCACGAACAAATTTCTCACCGATTCTATCGTCTCGTCGCCGATTTCCTTGAAACGTAAGAACACGAACCTCACAGCCCTAATTATTTCATCATTTTCAGCAACTATTTCATCATCATCTCCAACAATCTCATCAGACCTAATAATCGTTTCTTCTATCTCACCGACAACTTCTCCCCCCTCCGATTTCATTCTCTACCCACCTTCAACAGAAAACAACAGGGGGGCGGTTATGGGGGTTTTAGGAAAGGGGATATATTATATAAGGGCTTATTAAAACATACTTACAAAATTAACCCCTTAACTGTAACTGATTCGCTTATGCTTTTTTTCTTTCTTTTTTTTTGAAATAAATATATTGCCGCCAAATTGAAATAATATGTGGACTTTCTAAAATAAATGCTAAAAGTTATAGGAAACAAAGTGGGGCAATTTTTTTTTGGTGTTGTTTTAAATTGCAGTTTTGAAATATGGGGTTGTTTTGGGGAGCGTAACCGAATTGGGGTG